GAGCTGATGCCCTGAATTTGGACTTTTAGCCTACTTTGACTATGAGGAAATAAATTTCTCTTCATTAAAACCATCCACTTGTGGTATTTCTGTTATGGCAGCACTAGATGACCAAGACACAACTCCACGGCTACTTTTTTTTTTTTTTAAACAAATATGGTGAAGATCATTAGGGCCCAAGAATAGCTGGAGTGTTGGGAAGAATGGCTGAGGCCGGGGCACCTCACAGCTTTCTACCTGTTCACCCACATCTCCCAGGCCCCCTTGCATTTAGGCAGGCCACCTGACACTCGACTCCAGGCTGTGAAGGGAAGTGATGGTGTTGCTTCTAGGCGAAGGCAAGGAAAAGCTATGTACGATTTTCCAGTCTCTTTTCCTCTGCTGTGGAGACTATGTGTTTTAGAGCGGCAATCGCAAGATGGCGGGTCCTCTTGCTGGGAGGAGCAAACTCCTCACCAACCCACAATAGACACGCAGTGCAAGCAATGAATAAATGTTTGTGTAGGTTAATTAAGCCACTGATATTTGGGGTTTCTTACCCCAACATAACTTAGCCTAACCGGACTAATACAACTCCTATAATTAGTCCTTTTTTACAGATGAGGAAGCTGAGGCTCAGGGAGGGGAAGTGACCTCCCAAGGCCACTCAGCTGAGGTAGAAGGGGGCCCTTTCCCCACCCTAGGGCCAGAAAACACAGCCTGTTATATAAATGAGCCAAAGATAGCCTCTGTGTACTGGCCCCAAATTGTTTACCTCATAGCAGGCTAAGGTCCAAAACGCCAGCTGGCACCAAACTCAAATTTGTACATATTCAATTGTTTTAAAAATAGCCCCAATAAGCAGATTGTTAGCCACTTAGAGCAAGTAGAGTCGTCTGCTTTACATACCTCGCAGAACTGCACCCAACATCAGCTAGCCCTAGATAAGATAGAAGCTTTTAGTTATAAGGACCCCCAGTTGCAGCTGTCCTTTGGAGCTCTTGACCCAGAGACTCCCCACCTTGCTGCAGGAGGACATCACCTAGGGACACGTAACTTGGGACTACTAGATGAAAGTTTGCCATTTCAAACCCACCCAGAGGCACCTCAGAAGAAAGGACTGGAGATCTACTTCTGAAAGGTCACAGCCTTGAAAACCCTATGAAGCACAGTTCTACTCTGCACACGTGGGGTCACCATGAGTTGGAATCGACTCAGTGGTACCTGGTTTGATTTGGTTTTCCCCTTCTGGTGACTCCCTGCCCTACTTGCCTCTAGCAGACCTCCTGCTGTGGGGGACTGCCCCCTGAATGCGGTTGTCAATGTGTTGGACCCCAATAAATAGCCTGTTGTGCAACACTGCTATCTTGTGGTCATATATTTTTCCTTGATCAATCCCGAATTCCCCTGAACTCACTATGCGGTCCAGCCCATCTGTGCTGCCCTGCCCAGCGTCACCTGGAGGATCCTGTCGAAGGGCCAGAGGCCCCCACGCTGGGCTGGCCCATCAGGTCGCACAGTGTGGACATAGACACCCTTCTCCAGGAGGCCATCTGAGACGCTGAACCCAAAGTCATTCCTCATGGGGTCCTTGTGCAGGGTCACCTGGGAGCAGAAGAAGGGAGGAGGCTCCTGGAACTCTGACCTTGGCCTCCAGGCCCCATGGTAGCTCAAATCGCTTGATCTGGCATTCAGTACCTCGTGGACCCAGACCCCAGCCCACCTGAGCAACCCCGTGCTCTAGTGCTTCAGTGTCTTGCCCTTACCCCTCCTCCCCCTCAGCAAATTCTCCAGTTTACAGCATCAAATCTCCTCGGAATCCCTTAGAAAAGGATTTCCTTTCCAGTTCTTGCTTTCATCAGGGAGAAAGTCTTGTGGGGTACTAGTGTGTTTTTAACACCCTCTAACACTGACTCATCTCTGATTTCAACAAAGAGGCTTCTGGTGACTATTAAATTGGGCTAGAATTTACTAGTCTACATAGTAACTTACGGATGGCAAGAGATGCTGGCTTTCATTCAAGGTAGCAATGTAAAGGGTTTTTTGTTTTTTAACATATACAATAACTTGAGTGGTGAAACAGTGAGTCTACTTAAAGAAAAATATGAAGCCCTGTGTGTGTGTGTGTGTGTATCTGTATGTATGTATATTATGTATATACATATGTGTGTATGTGTACATATATACATGTACACATTCATGTGTGTATATGTATGTACATGTAAGTGTGTATGTGTAAGTGTATACATACTCACGTGTATGTGTATCTATGTGTATGAATGCACATACATGTGTGTATGAATGTATATGTATATGCATATGTGTGTATACATATGTGTGTGTGTGCATGCATGTATGTGTGTGTGTGTATGTATGTTTGCATGATAAGGAGCCCCGGCAGTGCAATGGTTAAGTGCTTGGCTGCTAACCAAAAGGTCAGCAGTTGGAATCCACCAGCAGCTCTGGGGAAGAAAGACCCAGCAATTTGCTCCTGTAAAGATTACAGCTGAGGAAACCCTATGGGGAAGTTCTACTCTGTCATACAGTGTCACTTTGAGTTGGAATCGACTCAGGGGCACACAACAACAACAATACACATGTATGGATGGACATATATGTGTGTGTGTGTGTGTGTCTATCACCCAAATAATGGGAATTTTAGAAGCTAGTACAAAATCCCTGTTTTACGGTGGAGGACAGCAAAGCTTGGATAGGGGCAGGAACCCATCTGGGAACACGTGGCAAGTCCCGATGGCACCAAGACACAGGACCAGACCTCCTGTCCCTGCCCCAGCGCCCACCTTGTGCATCTCCAAGGGCGTCGGCAACAACAGCTCCTGCATCTTTTCGGGGGGAGGGTGGACCTCCCGGCTCCTTCCCCGAGGCCCGGGGCCAGACCTGCTCTCGAGGGCCACACTCTGCACAGTGCCCGTCATGATGGATGCCTGCAGATGACACAGTCCTTCACGCATTCACACATTTGTTCAGTCATTCAGCATCAATGAACACCTACTATGTGCCAGCCTCCAAGAGCATATTATGAACAACACAGACACAATCCCTGCCCACTCAGGGTTCTCCATCCAGTAGTGGTGGCGGGGGGCGGGGGGAAGTCATTAATCAATCTCACAGACAATAAGAAAAATAACCATCCACAGTTATACCACACTTAGTCTGTGCTAAGCTCAGCTCTAAGCACGCCACACATATTTATTTTCTACAATATTATAAGGCAGGAAGACACTATTATTTTCTCCATTTTACAGATGAGGAAAATGAGGCTCAGAGAGACTAAGATTTGAAGCCAGCTATAAGTTGAGGCTCTTAAACCACTCTGCTATAATGCTGATCACAAAAACAATTAAGATAAAATTGCACAGGGCAGTAAATGTTACACAGATGAGGTACATGCAAGGTAGAACAGACAGATCCAGTCCAGTCTGAGGGGTCAGGGAAGCTTCCCTGAGCTGAGATCTGAAAGATGAGCAAGAAGAGTGGGAGGAAAGAGAGTCCCGGGCAAAGGAAACAGCATACGCAAAGGCCCTGTGGCTGGAGGGACAAGGACTATATTCTACAGGGAGAAATGTTAACTTGATCCTGGGAGTAACAGGGAGACACAGAAGGATTTAAGCAAAGGTGGCAGAAGGTGACATGATCAGATCTGTGGATTTAAAAGCACCTTCAGGCTTCTGGGTGGAGAATGGAAGCCAGGAGGGAGACCCGTCAGGGACTATGAATTGAATTGTGTCCCTCAAAAATAAGTATTGGAGTCCTAACTCCTATACCTATAAATGTAGTTTCATTTTGGAAATAGGGCTTTCTTTGTTATGTTAGTGAGGCAATATCAGTTTAGATGTGTTTTAAATCTAATCACTTTTGAGATATAAAAAGAGAAGATTAGGCACGGAAGCAAGCAAGCACCAAAGGAGAAAGATAGATGCCACGTGGAGATAGCCAAGGAACCGAAGAATGCCAAGAACACTTGTGAAACTGAGAAAAGGATTGTCCCCCAGAGCGGACAGAGAGAGCCTTCCCCTAGAGCTAGGGCCTGAATGAGGGCTTCTAGCCTCCTAACTGTGAGAAAATAAATTTCCGTTGGTTAAAGCCACCCCAGTGTAGTATTTCTGTTACAGCAACACTAGATGACGAGACAGATGGTGACAGAAGAGAAAGAGAGAAGGAGCAGAGTCGCGGCATGTCCTGGAGTTAAATCGACAGGTGTGTTGAAGGAGGGGTACACGGAGTCATAAATGCCCTGCCCTCAGCTGAGAAGAGCAGGCTTGTGGCCCTGAGGGAAATTCATTCATGTTCAGTTCAGACTGGGAAATCCACAGGGCAGGTGGTGCTAGGGTCTGTGGGATGGGAAGATGTGATTCTTAAAGGTCACATACAATTTGTTAGGCACAGAACTATCTCCACAGTCTAGACACTTCTCTCCCACTAACCGTCACAGTATCTGACTTTTCACCACATGTAACTGACATTTGGTAGGGCACAGTTTTGGTCTTCTGGAGATCCCCCAAGGGAAGGTAGATAATGATAACAGCTGTCTTAGGGCCAAGCTGTTGGGTTGGCGTGAGAAAGAAGATAGGAAAACACTGAAGAGGCACTGAGCAAAGAGGTAGGGAAGCCCATTTTTTAGAGCTTATAACTGGTGCTCATCTGCCTGGAGGGTCCAAAAGACAAGAGACTCAGAATCTTGGAATAATAGAATCATTAAAAATCAGAATTAGAGAGTCCAGGTATCAGACTCTTGGACCCCTAGAACTGTAGAATTCTAGGACTTCTAGTTAAGATGTAGACTGAGCTGATACAGAAGCTCACATCTCCCTCCAAACACACAGATGTAGTAGATTAAATTTTTTTAAATTAACACTCCAAAAACAAGAAAGAGAAATTCAGAGCCATATATGAGCAGGAGTGGAATCTTTTGGCTTAAGAAGGCAATTGTCATGGATTGCATTGTGTCCCCCAAAAGTATCTGTCAGCTTGGCTGGGTCATGATTCCCAGTATTGTATGATTGTATACCATTCTGTAATCTGATGTGATTTCCTTATATATTGTAAACTCTATCACTATGACGTAATAACAAGGATTAGTGGCAGTTATACTGATGAGGTCTATAAGATTCTTAAGCCAATCTCTTCTGAGATATAAAAGAGAGAAGCAAGCAGAGACACGTGGGAACCTCATACCACCAAGAAAGCAGTGCCAGGAGCAGAGCGTGTCCTTTGGACTTGAGGTTCCTCTGCAGAGAAGCTCCTAGACCAAGGGAAGGTTGATGACATGGACCTTCCTCCAGAGTCAACAGAGAAAGTGTTCCCCTGGAGCTGATGCCCTGAATTTGGACTTGTAGACTACTGGACTGTGAGAGAATAAAATTCTCTTTGTTGAAGCCATTCACTTGTGATATTTCTGTTATAGCAGCACTAGATTACTAAGACTGTAATGGAACCAGATATATATATTAGCAGCTGGGATATCTGTTCAGGGAAAAGATAGTGCTGCATCAAAGCAGGAAGCTTGGGGAGTGCCACCTCATTGTTGAATGGGGACTAGAAAATGTCTTCCCACCAGCCCAGGGACACAGAAGGTAACCACCAGGACTGAGTAGGCGTGTGTGCTGGGGTGGGGCGGAGGTGGAGGATGGAACCACTTGTGAGAAACAAGAAACCTTATAGCTTGACCTCTGTATTAGTGTGGGCCAGAATTTGCCTGCCATGAATAGTATAGAAACGTTGAGTTGAAAAATTAATGTTAAAAACAGGTCTGGAACTGGTAAAGTTAAAAGGCCCAAGCAAAGACATTTAAGAAACTACCTCAGAGTACTTCAACAATCCAGAGCAGATGTGGGATGCCTACAGAAATAACCACTGCTGAAAGTAAGCTCAATGATGAGATTAAAAAGCCCACCTGCCCACAAACATAACAAATAGGAGAATTCACATCCAGGGAACTAAAAATAATAGAGGAACTAAAATAAACTTTAAAAGAAGTGTCTTTAAAATGTGCAGAAGATAAGAAAATAAAAAGCAAAAGACACTAATAAAAAAGGCTATGACTATTTGAAAAGTAAAGGGCAATTATAGAAATAAAAAATGTAGAAATTGAAATTCAATATCTAAGAAATGGGCTAAACAGTAAACTAAATATAGCTGAGGAGAGAATTAGTGAATTGGAAGACAGATTAAGGAAAACAATTAGAACCCACTGCAGAGAAAATATGAAAGAAAAGTTTAGAGATACAGGAGATAAAATGACAAAGTTCAATAACCACCTAATACAACTGCCAGAAAGAGGTAATAAAGTATAGGTGATATTAAAAAATATAATGACTGGGAATTTTCCAAACTATAAGGTAAAAAATGAGTCCCCAGACTGAAAAGACAGAGTATTCAATAAGATAAATTAAAAAACAAAACAAACTCACACAGAGACATCAGAGCAAAAGAGCCAGCCATCACAGATAAGGAGCAATCCTCCAAGCCAATGGAAAGAAACAGCATTACTTTCAAGGGAACAGTGAACCTAACAGCAGCGACAAGAGTTGCCAGAAGACAATGGAATAATATATTCAAAGCCTTGAGGAAAATTTTAATTTCATACTCAACTAAAGTATAATTCAATTAAAACCAAAACCACATCTATTGCTGTCAAGCCGATTCCAACTCATAGCAACCCTATAGGACAGAGTAGAATTGCCCCCATAGGGTTTCCAAGGCTGTAATCTTTATGAAGGCAGACTGCCACGTCTTTCTCCCAAGCAGTGGCTGGTGGGGTCGAACCGTAGACTTCTCAGTTAGCAGCTGAGTGCTTTAATCATTGCACCACCAAGGCTCCTTATAATTCAGTAGTTAGGAGGAAATAAAGACACTTTCAAAACACAAAGTCTAAAAGCATTTACACCCAAAAACCCTCACTGAAAGAACTTCTAAAGGATAAACTCAGAAAGAAAGAGTGGGATGCATGAAGCAATGGTGCAAAGAAATTTGTTAAACATTCTGGTAAAACTAAATCATTTTTAGTTCATGGTCACTAATTTTGAGCAAAAAGTTCTCACCAAATGTTGGAAGATGGGAGAAAATAGTTTCTGTTTGGAGGGACGGTTCTGCTAGCATTCCACAAGCACTCTAAAGTGCTCGTCTTATTCAGGAGGACCATATTGATTAGATTTTGTTAGAAAAACAAAGTTAAGAAAGATGTTGAAAAATTCAGGTAAGGTCAATTGGCCTAGTCTTTTCAAAAAGTCAGTGTCATGGTACACAATGGAATATTATTCAGTCATAAAAATTATTGAAGTTTTGATAAATGCTATGACATCAATGAACCTTGAAAACATTATGCTCAGTAAAAGAAGCCAGACACAAAAGGCCATATACGTATGATTCCATTGATATGATATGTCCAGAATATTCAAACCATAGAAATGGAAAATAAACAGTGGTTGTCAGGGGGTGGGAGAGGAGAGGGGAATTAGGAGATATGGGGTTTCTTTTTGAGGTGATGGAGATATTCTGGAATTAGATAGTGGTGATGGTTGCACAATATTGTGAATATATACTACACACCATTGATTTTATACTTTAAAATGGTTACAAGGGTGAATTTTATGTTATCTGAATTTTATATTAAAAAAATTGTATAGGGTCGCTATGAGTCAGAATTGACTTGACAGCAACAGGGTTTTTTTTTTTTTTTTATGGTCATTAAAAAGTGACTAGGCTATAATTAAGAGAGTCTTTAGGGACATGGTAACCAGGTGCCAAGCATGGATTAAATTAAGACACTGGTTTGGACAAACCAGGTATAAAGGGCAATTTAAAGTCACCTGAGGAAATCTGAAGATGATCTTAGTATTAGAAGAAATTAAAATATATTGAAATGGAAAAACAGAGCAGTTAGCTAAAAAAGCAGATTACAAAACAGAACATACAGCTTGATTTCATCATCTTAAAAAATGCGCATATACTCCTTTATGTGGTGATCTGAAGGTGGTGGGAATGTTATGTCCTTATTTTTTATTTTTTGCTTTTATGTTGCTTATCTAATTTTGCACTATACACATGTATCACTTCTGTAATAATAAAAAAGTTTTAAAATGCAAAATTTGAATATTAAAAGCAAAACAAATGATTTAAGGATAATCACTAAAGTAATAAAATTAAAATTAATAATTTCCAAATCAGTGGTGGAGAGACTGAATAGGAATGAAAAATGCATCAATATAAAAGAAGGAAAGATAAATGATTAAAAGAAGTATAGAGAAAACATGATAAATAGAAAGTATAAAACTATATGCTAGAATTAAGTTTAACTACATTAGTAATCACAATATATATAAATAGACTAAACTTGCCTCCAAAAAGAGACTGTTGGATTAGGGCAAAAATAAGCTATATAGTGTATACAATAGATACACTTAAAACAGTGATACAGAAAGTTTGAAAATAAATAAACTGGGAAAATATTATTAAAGTAAAGCTGGTGAACAAATATTTTTATGCGAAAAATGGAATTTAAGGTGGAAAGCATGTTTAGGGATAGAAATACTGATTAAAGTTTAAAAAAAATTCACCAAGAAGTTACAGCAATCAGGAATTTATATGCAACTAACAACATAATCTCAAAGAATAGAAAGCAAAAACTGAAAAAAGGTCAAGGAGCAATTGTCAAATTTAAAACCATAGTGAGTATTTTATCATACTGCTAACAGAAAAAATAAATATAAATAAAGCATATAAAATTTAGTAAAGATGTAGGTTTTAACAAGTTTATTAACAATCTTGATCTATATAGAATCCTTCACTCAACAAAAGAAAATTCACATTCTTTCATAAGCATATGTGAAATATTAACTAAAGCTAATCACATACTAGGCCACAAAGAAAGAAATCTCAACAAATTCCAAAGAATTAATATCAAATCAAACACATTTTCTGACTGAAGTGCATGAAAATTAGAAACCAATATGAATTGGCTTTAAACTTTATGTTAAAAAAATAAAAACAAAAATACAAAGTTCAAAACCAAAAACTCTGCTTCCATATAACTCAAGGGCTTAAGTAAAAGTCACACCTAAAATTTAAAAAAGATATGCAATTGAATGAACAATAAAAGTATCATAAATCAAAACTGGTGGGATACTGCCAAAGGAGTGCTTACAGGGAAATTCGCAGCTTTAAATGCACTGTTACGGATAGAATTGTGTCCCCAAAATATGTGTTGTAAATCCTAACCTCTATGCCTGGTTATAACCCCATTTGGGAATGGGTTGTCTTTGTTATGTTAATGAGGCAGGATTAGTGCAGGATGTGTCTTAAATCAATCTCTTCTGAGACATAAAAGAGTACATAAGCAAGCTAGAAGCAGAGATGGGGGAAGAGACATGAAAAGCCACATGAAGATCACCCAGGAGCAGAAGCTCAAAAGAGACAAGGACCTTCCGCCAAGCTGACAGAGAGAAAAGACTTCCTCTAGAGCCGGTGCCCTGAATTTGGACTTCTGGCCTCCTAAATGTGAGAAAATAAATTTCTGTTTGTTAAAGACACCCCCTTGTGGCATTTCTGTTATAGCAGCACTGGATAACTAAGACATGCACAATGTTAGAAAAAGAGAAAGACCGAAAGCTGAGGAGCTAAGAAGCCAGGAAAAATACTATTACTTAAATACAAAAAAGTAGTAGGAAGAAAATATTGAAACTAAGCACAGAAATGAATAAGATAGAAAACAATGAAACGAGAGATAATTAACAAAACCAAAAATTGGTTCTTTGAGTAGCCTAGTAACTGGCAAGACTGATGAAGAAGGAAAAAAAAAAAAAATCCCCAATCAGCAATATTAAAAAAGGGGGCAAAAGCACAGATAAAGCAGAGGTTTAAATTCTTGTCCTCAGGGTACAAAGGAGCTTCTAGAGTAGCTTAGTTGAACCCTCCAAAGATCCTTCGCTCCCGAGCAGGCTGTTCCATTGTGGGCCATGCTGACCTCACACAAAGCTGCATTACCCTCTGGGCTCCCAGGGCCCCTCATCTCTCATGTTGTCAATGATATCAACATCCAAAGGCTTCCACAGGGCACACCCAAACCACATCTACATACCACACATGCACACACAGACACCAGAACTCCCTATGCATGTAAATGCTCACATGCAGACACACATATTCTGAATATACACCTTGCATTTGTGCATGCAAGAACATGCTCACATACATGCATACGTACATGCTCCCAGTGCACACTCAATGACATTAAACATGTTCACATGTCCACACACCCCAATGTGCTACCATGATACCCTCAATCACACTTGTGTACATGTCCATGCCCAGTCCACACACGGGTGGAGGCATATTTACACAGATGAAGGTGCCCAGGTGGGTGCACACCTAACAGATGTCACTCGCGTGCATGCCCCTGTCAACATGCTCACCTAGCACACACACCCTTGTGCCCAGACATATGTGTCCCACTCAGGCCGCAGGGTGGGTGGTCGTACCTCCAGTTCCCTCAGCAGCTCTGACTGACCACATGACTCCAGGTCTTCCAGAGCTTCGCCAAATACGCGCCAGAAGCCCTCCTCACCAGCGGGGCCAGGAACTGGGCTGTAACGTAGGAACCAGAGAGGGTCAACTCCTGGCAGGTGGGCGGGCAGGCAGGCGGGCTGAGGCCTGAGGACTCTTCGGGGCCTTAGGGCCCGGCGTTGGGCTCGAGGGGCCATAGGGTAGGCGGGCGGGCAGGCAGGCAGGCAGGCAGGCTGGCGGGCGTCCTCGGTGGCAGTGCTGGGGCCCCAGGGCAGTGGTTGGTGACACGGAATAGGGGGAAGACGCAGTTAGGGGCGACCAGAACTGTCGGTGGCCAGTTAGAACAGGGGCAGATGAGACGGGGTGGAGAGCGGTGACACAGGACGCCTGGGAAGAGAGACGGACGGACAGACAACAGACAGACAGGAGATCCACAGTGTAACCCCAGAGGACGGCCCCTGGCCCCATCCAGACACATAGCTTTGTGAGACAGTGACAGGAACAGAGCTGGAGCCAGCAAGGACAGAGATGGATGGAGAGGATGAAGTATTTCTGCTGGGGAGGGGTTGCGAGCACCCCACAACTTCTGTCCTGTCATATGAGAGTGTTATCAGTTCAAAAATCAAGTCTCATAAGAATGGCAACAACTCACATTTTCACACTTGAATCTGCTGTCTACAAGGTTCTTGACATTTTATGAAGCATGCTATGGTTGGCAGAGCACATTCTCTTTTACAAAGGCTTCACTCTCTTATGGGACCCTCGGGGAAGATGATGTGAAATAGTTGCCTCCTTCCCTTCCCATTTTACAGAAGAGAAAACTGAGGCTGAAGGACATTCACTCCATTCAAGTCAACTCTACAAACATTCCCTGAGCCAGGCCCTCTACTGGGCACGGGGATATGGCAGTGGATGAGGTGTGGCCCCTGTTCTTGAGATGCTGGTGATTCATTCACAAGGTGAATGAGCACCCGCTAGGTGTCACGCACTTAGCCAGGGTTGCCACATAGAAGAGATGATATCCAGGAAATTAACCAGATATGACACAAGGTGGCCAGTGCCACTAGGAGGCTCACACAAGCAGCTGTGGGTACCAGGGGAGGGAAGGAAGAATTCCTTCTTTCTGAGAAAGTTGGGGAAGCTTCCCAGACTTGAGCAGAGCCATCTCAGGGGAATTAGGGCTTGGTTTTGAGGGATGAGTAGGAATTTGCCCGGAGAGAAGAGGGAAAGGCATTCTAGGCAGAAGGAAAGTACAGAGATGGGACAGGGTGGCCATTGCCCAACAGGACCTGCTCCACACGAGCCTTCCCCTCCAGGGATGAGGCTGAGTCATTTGATGCCAATGCTAAGAAAACAGCCACACCCCCAGCCCAAGGCTTTTGGGGTAAGAGCCCTTGCAGGGCCATCAAGCAATCTGGGTTTAGTGAAGTGGGTCTGAGTTCGAGCTCTGAGTCCATTGCTGCTCTTCTGAGACTTAGACTTGGGAAGACCAAGCCAGGCTGCTTCCCCACCTCCACACCTCAGCCTGCTGTGCCCCCCACCCAGTCTGCCCTCTCCCCGTATCGGCTTGGCAGAGATGTCTCTGCTCAGTGCTTCGTCTTCTAGGAGGTCCCCTGCTCAGGGGCCAGGCAAGGCTCTTCCGTATCACACACACTCGCCCTGGGCAGCTGGCCGCCCTCACCCGACCTAGCCAAGAGACCATGACTGCCTCCTTCATGGTCTTTCCACCACAGACCTAGTTGGCGGCTCCCAATCCTCCTCCTCCTCCTCCTCCTCTTCCTCAGGGAAACTCTCATCCACAGGGGCCGGGGTATAGCTCCTCCTCTGGGGCTCCGTGGGTGGGGGGCTGCTCCTCAGGCGACCAGGCCGCCATTCCTGGGGGGTCACACCCCGGGCTGCCGCCTGTGGGGTGTAGGAACCTAGCAGGTAGAAAGGGGGGCATCTGTGTCCTCTCCATCACCCTCACCTTGCCCTCCTCCCTGCCCCATTACCAGCCATGCCAGGTGGCACTGGAGTCTTTGCCCCTCTCTGGGTCTGCATGGCTACCTAGACCTGCCCCCCCACCCTGAGGGCCCTTCCACCCCAGTCCCATCCCCAGAACCCCCAAGCTCACTCTCGTCCAGCATATAGATTTAATGCCCAGCTCTCAGACTCTAACCCAACTCCACTGGGCTGGGCTGGGCTGGGCTGACCTCCTGCCAGAGAGGGACGTTCAATGTTTTCACCACTACCACCACCATTAGGAGCTTGAAGCTCCCACCCCAAGGGGTGAGCTGAGAGACCCTGACCAGGAGGTCAAGATGGGAAGCTGAGACCTAGAGAGGGCAGGGTCCAGCAAGTGAGGAACAGGGCTAGGAGGTCACTTGAGGCCACCTGAGGCCTCCCTCCAGCTAACCCCTGAGCTGGGAGTCGCTTCAGCCTGGGTCACAGAGGCCAGACCAGCCACTGAATTCCGACGCTCCCCTGAGGCTATCAGTGGTCTCAACATACATGGAGGAAGCTTGTATCCTGGGGGTGTAGGCTGGGGGCTCCAACCTGAGCTGGGTCTTGTAGGGTGGGCTCACAGGGTTTGAGGGGCTTTCTACCTGCCAATCTTCAACTGTATGCAACAAACATTGATTGAGCACATGCTGTGTGCCAAGCACTGGGCTAGGCACGAAGGACACAGCATAAGCAGGCTGACTTAGCCTTTGATCTCCTGATAGGGAAATTTGAATAGCCAGTTATGGAACTGTGGCCAAAGGAGCACAGAGAGTGGCTAATGGGCTCAGTTGGTCCCTAAAGAATGGAGCTAGCTAGGAGAGGAGTAGTGACAGGAAGGAGAGCGTGGTGCTTGTCCAAGAGCACTGAGGCATTACCTGTGCTCCCAAAGCCACCCTCTGTAGTTGAGCTGTCCCACGACTCCACAGCGCTGTCCACACTGGGCACGGCGGGCGAGAACCGGGATGCCAGCAGGCCCCCTTTGAGAGCCTCGGGCGGGTCCTCATCCCCATCACTGGCCTCACTAAGGCTGCCTGACTTGTGGGGTGGGAGGGAGCCTGGAGGAAAAAAGTTATGTCACTGCCACTGGCCTCTGACCCCAGGGGACAATGGGAGACACGGAGATACTCAGCAAGCCTCAGTTTCCCCGTTTCAGTCTGGTTTGGGAACCCACAGGCACTGAGCCCCTGCTGGGTGCTCGTAGGTGATCTGACACGTGCTCCCTCATTTAATTGCCCACGAGGGGACACGCTAATAAGATCCCTGTGTGCAGATGGGGATACTGAGGCTAGGGGAGTCTGAACCACATGACCAGTCCCCATGGTGAACAACAGTGGAGCCCAGATTAGAAGTCAGGCTCCTTCCACTGCTCATGGTAGCCTCGCTATCAAGGCTTTAGGGACATATTTGGGGAAACTGAAGAATGCACAGGTTATGATCATGATGCACAGCAGGCACCTTAACAGACAGGAGGTGATGAAGAGCGTGGGTATGGAGTGCTGGGTTCAAGCCCAGCCTCTGCCCACACCAGCTGTGTGACCTTGGGCTCATCACTCCCATCTCTGAGTCTTTGTTTCCTCAGCTCCACCAGGTAGCCTCCCACCTGCACAGGGCTGTGTCTTTGGGGAGGTTGCACATGCAAAGCCTAGCACAGAAGCAGGGATTCCCTTCCTAAATGGGTTTGGTGGTCCCTAGGGCATAGGGCAAGGCTCACGGTCCAGCTGCTTCTTGATCTTCAGTGTGACGGTCTCACCAGCCACCTGCAGGAGGTGGATGGCCTCACTCAGTGGCCTGCCCTTGAGGCTAATGCTGTTGATGGCCAGGATACGGTCCCCAACATGGATGGCACCAGTCCTGGGGAGGGGGCACAGGGCAAGGGATGGGGATTAGACACCCAGGGCCTTAGAGAGGGGCTCTGCCCATGGAGAACCTGGAAGAGCCCTGAGGCTTAAGCCTGGATGACCCTAGTTAAACCCAGTGTGACCTTGGGTTGCATTAATAGAGGTATAAAGTCTAGGATGTGGAAGGAGATTATCCTGCCCCTCTAAAGTTAGTGTCCAGCTGAGTTTTGAGAATGGTTTCAATCCCAGATCTGCCACATACTAGCTGTGTGGTATTAGGCCAAGTTTCTTAACTTCCCTGAGTCGCAGTTCCTTCATCTGTAAAACAGGGATGACAACAGTATTTATTTCATCAAATTATAAGCCTTGGGTGGCCTTTCCCTCTCTCTGAGCCTCAGTTTCCCCACCTGGAGAATGAGCAAAATCACCGGGCCCAGCTGGCCTCATGGGGGATGTGAGGGGCTGATAAACCAAGTGGTAGCATTGCTCTGGCCCAGCAGTTTGCTCCCTGGATGCCCATTAGAATTACCTGGAGAGCCTCCACCCCAGTCCAATTAAACAGGACCTGGAGGTGGGGCTAAGAAAGGTGGTTCTGAGGGAAAGCCAGTGCTGAGTGGGGAGAGCAGTTACAGCAGGTGCTAAGAACACACCTGGCTGGGAGAGAAGGAGGCAGAGGACTGGGGTCAGGGGTCTTGAACTCCAAATGTGGAGGGTGCCCTCAGGCGGGGAGAACCTGCCGGGTTGAACCCAGTTGTACCCTCATGCCCAGCATTATCCAGAAGGCTCCCTGGGGACATCCAGAGGTGAGTGAGTCAGGAATGACGCATTCAGGGGAGGAAGCCCCCGAGCTGTGCTGTTGAGCGCTGAAATGTGGATACTGAGGACTGAAATGTGGCAGGTCTGAACTGAGACAGGCTCAAGTGTAAAATACATACTGGAGTCTGAAGACTTAGTGTGTAAAAAGAATGTAAAATATTAATATTTTTATATTAATTACATGTTGATCAAATTAAACATATATGTACATATATAAGATTAATTTTATTTCTTTTTACTTTTACTTTTCTAATGTAGCTACTAGAACATTTATAATTAAAATTGTGGCCCACATCGTATGTCTGTTGGGTAGCGATGAGCTAGACCAGCACCACGAGAGCAGGGGGTCGTCTGCTGCATGGCACTCAGCCGGTACCCAGCAAATGCTGTAGTTGATGAGGACATTTGGGGTCAGAACGGTCACACCAGTCACTGCAGTCTGCTGGGTATCCAGCAGGGGGCACACCAGGAGTGGAAACACCAACAGGGCTAAGTGCTGTGGCCTGAGCCTCAGGCCCCAGAATCCCTCTCCTCCTGCCTGCTCTGCTGGCCACGCTGCCGCCTCTCCTCCCTATGTCCTCTGCAGGGGCCCATGCTGTCCCTCCAGCCCCGGCCAGGCTCCCCCTGACAGCCAGCCCCTCCCAGTGCCAGAGAGCTTATCTCTTCCTTGCCTGCTCTGTCTCTGGTCACTACTCCGTCTCACCTGTGCTGGGATCACCACCCTGTGGGGCCCGTTCCACCCCTGGGCCCCCCGGACCCACCTGCTTCCCCACCCAGGACAGCCTGAGACAGAGCCTGAGGCACCCCCCTTCTCACAGCTCCCCGCCTGCCACTTTTAGACATACTTCCTAAAAGAGGGTCTTCAGGGGGCAGTCCCCCAATGCCTCAGGAAAAACTGCCCCTATACTATGAAGGCACACAGTGGGTTCCCCCAAAAAAGCTTACAACGCTGACTTTTGAGAAACTGCAGAATCTCTAGGTTGGGAGCAGGGGTTAATACACTTTTATCCAACACCTACCTGGGGCTATGAGGTCTGCTGGGGCTGCTGGCCTGCCTCTGCCCTGGGAGGCAGGAGCTAACACTTTCACCTTACAGATGAGGAAACTGAGGTACAGAGAAGGGAAGTGACTGGCCCAGTGACACCCAGAACAAAGGTCAGTATCTAGTCTGGCTGTTCCCAAAGCCTAGCTCCTGCACCGTGGGGGTCCCTGGGCCCACCCCTGCATCCCCACAGAGCCCAGGCCCACCTCTCAGCCAGGCCACGCTTAGTGAGGCCTGAGATGATGATGGGGTCAAAAGGCTCCTCGGTGCCCGAGATGGTGATGCCCAGGGGGCCACCATAGCGTTTCAGCTCCACTGTGTAGCTGATGGCGCCCGTAGTCTCCTGTTCGTCTGCAAGGGTGGACACCCATCAGGGGTGGAGGTGGGGGGTCAGGGGTGGGGGGACAGGACTGTCACCACCTCCTGTAGCCTCAGTGCTCTTGCTTACTCACTCATATGCACCCATTCACTCATTCACTCACTCACTAATTAATCCATTCACTAGGCCATAACTTCAGACAGTTCTTCTGTCTCCAGGAGTATTTTCTTCAGCCCAAACACCATTAAAATGAAAGAAGGAAGGGACGGGAAGAGGAGGGAAAAAAAATAACTGGACTTAACATTTTAAAATATAGATTTCACATACCACACAAAATAACAATAATGATATGGTGATGATGGGAAACCAGGTTTCTAACTTGTCTTAAAAAAATAAGAAATCTGCCCACTAGTGACCCTCTTTCCCAAGGCTGGAGTTGACAGCTGCCTCTTTGAATAGGGGATTCACTCTCCAGTTGCCACAGTCCTCACCCCTCCCTTTTGCCTCCCCAACCTGTAGAATTATTCTTACCTTCTACCAGGTTTGCTCATTCATGGCATTTGTCTAGCCTCAGCGGTGTCTGAGTTTCAGCCTTCGCTTATTCTTCACATACCCAGTCATTCAGTTATGCATTCTCATTCACTCACAGCGCCTCCCACCCATCTATTCTCTAGGGGGTCTCCTCTGCCAGGCTTTGAGCTAGGCACGGAGGATACAGGCAGGGTTTCAAACTTCAGCCCACCATGCAAAGGCCCTGGGGGACCGCAGACTACAGTGCTGCCCCCTCCTCCATTTGTTCATTCAAGGGGCCTCCTCAAGCCAGTCCTCAGTTGGCACCCACAGCCTCCCTTCCCCAGCCAGAGGGAGCCCAGATTGCAGGCTGGGGAGAGCAGGATTGGAGGCCAGGGTGGGGGGTGGGGCCATACCAGAGTTGTCCTCATCCTTCCGGATCTTCAGCTTCACCAGGTCCTCGCACTGCCGCAGGATCTGCACGGCGTCCTCCATGGGGCAGTTATCCAGGCGGATGTTGTCGATGGCCAGCAGCTTGTCGCCTGGTTCGAGGGTGCCAGTCCTGCACAGGTGGGGGTGGGGGTGGGGATGGGAAGGGGCCTGGCATATGTAGGCGCTGTACCAACCCCGCTGCCGCTGTCCACGCCCATGCCCGGGGCAGCCCTACCTGTGTGCCACACTGCCTTTCTTGATGTCAGAGATGATCAGGGGCTCCCCTCGCTTCCTGCTGGCCGCTGGAGGAAAAGGGGCATGAGTCCGACCTTTGACTGCCTCAGCCTTGGGGGTGGCCAGGCCCAGGGGTGGGGGGCATGGACTCTGGGCCCCACAGCCTGCTCACATCCTGCTCCCCTTCTTCCTGGCGGGGTGACTGAGAGCAAATCAGCTCACCTTTCTATGCCTCCATTTCCCTTCTTTAAAAATGGGAATGATGCCGCGGGCCTCATGGGGGTGCTGAGATGCAGCTAGGTACCGCAGGCCCAAGACCTAGTGGGATTCCTGGTGCACAGTAGGTGCTCAGTAAATATCAGCTCTTTTTCCCTCCTGCTGAGCCTATCCCCCAGCCAACTGTGAGCCCCTTGAGGGGCTGTGTCTTGTTTCCCCAGCACCTACTCTGTTCCCCTACTATGAATTAAGCGCCTACTTCCGGGCACTGGAACACAGTGTCTATCTAGAAAAACCAAACCACTTTGAACTAAGGGTCCTTCCCCTCTTCTTCCCCCCCCCTCCAGGAGATCTGTAAGGCCAGACACTCCCACTGTGCAGAAATGGAGGACATCGAGGCGTCTTGCTCAAGCGCACACAGCCAGGTCCTGCAAAATGGACCAGGACTGACGTTAGCCAGAGCCTCCTATCCGGCCACGCTGTGGCCTCTCTGCCCCGAAAATGCTGGTTTGAGCAGCAGCCCGCCGTCCACAGCGAAGCAAGCTCTTTTTCATGGCAGGTGGGCTCTGAGCGGGAGGCCTGCACAGGCGAGGGACTCACAGCTGATGGTGATGCCCAGCTCCACACCACGTCTCTTGGGTAGTTTCACATGGAAGGTGCCGCTGCTCGGGATGACAGACTCTGGGTATGAACAGACATGGATGACATGAGACCCAGGGGAGAGGCCTCGGGAGTCCCAGCCCCAGCCCCTTAAGGCCCCCTGGGAGGGACCCCAAACAATCAACCCCTGGCAGATGAGGAAACTTCTCCCACCTGGCAGATGAGGAAACTGAGGCACAGTGATGGATAGATTTGGTCAAGACAACCAACTCACCCAGTCAGGGCAGAGTGGGGGTGAGAACCCAGACCTCACACTCCCAGCTGGGATCCCCACAGCCAAATCCAGCCCAGTTGAATGCAGCAAGGCCTGGCTGAGCACTACTCTGTGCAGGCCTTGGTGGGCTGTCTTCCCCTAATCACACCCCTCCAGTGGATGGACTCTTTTACAAACAGAGGGGGAAATGTCCTGTCCAAAGTCACAGAGTGTCTAAATCGCAAAAGCAGAATTCTGACATGAGTTGTTGTGGATGCTTTGCCGAAGCCATGCAGATCAGGAGTTTGGAGTACGTTCAGCACCCCTCACCCCACCAGGCCCTGCCGCACTACGAAAATCCCTCATCAGCCCAGCACTAGTGTGTGAACTCCCTCCCAGGCCAGTGCCCTTCTTTCCACCATTAGTGCTTAGTCATAAACAGCAAATGTCCCTGCGAGAAGGACCACCTGGGGAGGAGTGGGGTGAGGTGGAAGAACAATCCCACAAGGCAGGAACAGGACACAGAGGGGAGGGAGCACAGGCGTCCTGAAGGGAGGGGGCTGCTAGGGCAAGGGTGGATTATCCAACAGGCAAGGTAAGCACAGTGCTTACCTTGCTTACCAGATCATCTGTAGTAAACAATTTCCTATTTTTTCACCACATCAAAGATTCTGCTTCTAGGTATGGCTGGCATCTGTCTCTCTCTCAACCCCACAGCACCTTCCTACAGAATCAAAGCCTCTTTTCAAATTTACAATCCCTGACAGGGGCGGATGACCCAGTAAGCCAGGTAAGCACAGGCTTACTTGTGCTTACTTACTAATCTGTAGTGAACAATTTCATATGGGTTTCTTCTGTAGTGAAATTGTTCATTACAGATGACCTGGTAAGCAAGGTAAGCACCGTGCTTACCTTGCCTATTGGATTATCCATCCCCGTGCTGGAGTCACTCACTCACCAGCCACATCGAACTCGATTTCCAGCACGACCTTGTGGGCCAGAGCAGCGTCCCGCAGCAGCTGGTTGGCTTCCTCCATTGTCCCATCCTCGGTGGCGATGCCGTTGATGGAGAGGACCCGGTCCCCCACCTGCAGCAGCCCACACCTGAACAGGGAGCAGCCCAGCAAAGAGAAGAGGCCAACATCACGGCTCCACAGGGAGAGAGGATCTCTGTGCTGGACAGGGCCAGGACCGGACCTGGGCCCTCATCGCTTTCCCTCCCCAGCTGGGTTTGCCCCTCAGCTCTGCCCTAGGCCAGCTATGTATCCTCCAGCAATTTGCCACATGGCTCTGGCTAAGGGCTTGACCTCAGTTTCTCATCTGATGATGCCATGGGCCTTACAAGATATACATACAGAGTGGTTAAGCCTATGGACTCTGTCAAATGGATAGGGGTTCAAGTCCTGGAGATTCCACTCATGATCTGTGTGACCCTCGGCAAGTGAGTCAGCTTCTCTGAGCTTCAGTTTCCTCATCTGTGAAATGGGGCTGGTGATGGTTGATGTGATGATTAAGCGCTATATGGCTGTGAAGGCTGGGGCGTGGTGTTGTGACTAGGTTTCCCTGGTTGTCTGTGAGCCCCTGATTTTAGAAATTGACAGGTGTGGGGACGGGGCAGCAGACTCACCTCTCGGCCGGGCTGTCAGGCTCGATGAAGCGCACGAGGGGCGGGGAAGACAGGGTCTCAGTGGCAAAAATGCCACCCTGGAGCTGGAGGCCGAAGCCGCTGAGGGGATCTCCACAGAGCACAACCTCGGTGGTCTCTGTGTGCACAATCTGCCCACCTGGTCCCACCGTGCTGGAGGCCAGCGACACTGTGGGGCAGATGGGCACAGGCACTCAGGTGGGCCACCCCGTGAGGCCTTCCTGCCTACCCACCCCCAGCCCAAGACCTGGAGTCAGGGGGCAAATAAGTGGAAGTCCTAGCTAGTCTGTTCTGAACCTTGGTTTCCTCATCTGTACAATGGGATTGTAATGCCCACCTGGAGGGCTGTGGCAAGGATTAGGGAAGACAGCGTATGGGACTGTCCCATCGTAAAACAAGAGACTCTGAGGGTCCATACTATCATGTTATGTCATGTTATATTATTTTAGCATATACTATAAAAAAAACAAACCTGTTGTTATGGAGTAGATTCTGATTCAGGGTGACCACATGTGTTATAGAGTAGAACTGCTACATAGGATTTTCTTGGCTGTAATCTGTATGGAAGCAGATTGCCAGTCCTTTCTTTCACAGTGCTGCTGGGTGGGTTCGAACCACCAACCTTTATGTTATTGGTCGAGTGCAAACCATTTGCGCCACCCAAAGACCTTACTATATGCTATCGCATATATTATGTCAAGGAGCCCTGGTGGCACAGTGGTTAAGTGCTTGGCTCTAACCAAAAGATAGGTGGTTCAAGTCCATCAGTCGCTCTGTGGGAGAAAGCTGTGGCAGTCTGTTTCCAAGACTTACAGCCTTGGAAGCCCTATGGGGCAGTTCTACTCTGTCCTTTAGGGCCACTATGAGTTGGAATTGACTCGATGGCAACTTTTTTTTTTTTTTAATATATATTGTTATTTTTTGTAACATCTTTATTGAGATATAATTTACGTGCCATAATATTCACACATTTAAAGTGGACAAGTCAATGGTTTCTACTATGTTCACAAACTTGTACAACCATCACCACAATCAACTTTAGAACATTTTCATCACCTCAGTAGGCAACCTGTTCCCTTCAGGTGTCACCCCTAATCTCCGCATCTCCACCAGACCCTGGCAACCACTAATCTACTTTCTGTCTCTATAGAGTTGCCTGTTCTGGACATCTCATATAGATGGAATCGTTCAGTATGTGGCCTTTGTGACTGACTTCTTCACCCAGCATGTTGTCAAGGTCCACTCACGTTGTAGCATGTTTCAGAATTTCATTCCTTTTTACGGCCGAGTAACATTCTATTGTATACATACACTACATTTTATTACCCATTCATGGACATGGGGGTTGTGTCCACATTTTGACTATAATGAATAATGCTGCTATCAACATTCATATACAAGTTTTTGTGTGAACATATGTTTTCATTTCTATTGGGTGTATATACCTAGAAGAGAAATTGCTGGGTCAAATGGTAACTCTATGTCTGTTAGATATATTATATTACTTAATGGATGTTGTTTTATATTCCATATACAAAATACATTCATAGTATTGCTACAGTTATTAAATATTATTTATTATATATTAAACGAGCCCTGCTGGCACAGTGGTTAATTGCTGGACTGCTAACCAAAAGGTCAGCAGTTCAAAACCACCAGCTATTCCTTGGGAGAAAAATGTGGCAGTCTGCTTCCATAAAGATTTACAGCCTTGGAAACTCTATGGGGCAGCTCTACTCTGTCCTCCAGGGTTTTTTGGGTTAAACAATCAAACAAACAAAAAAAAAAAACCGCGCTGTCATCAAGTTGATTCCAATTCATAGCAACCCTACAGGATAGAGTAGAATGGCCCCACAGGGTTTCCAAGGAGCAGCTGGTAGATTTGAAAGCCAACCTTTTGGTTAGCAGCTGAGCTCTTAAACACTGCACCACCAGGGCTCCTTTTTGGGTATTATATAGTAAATAAAATTTACTGCTGCATTTCATTCTATTACTAATTATATACCATTGTATCTTTATATATTATTTTATTGCATATTATATCCATATATAATATTGTATATAATATAGGAGCCCTGGTAGCACAACGGCTAAGGGCTTGGCTGCTAACCAAAAGGTTGGCGGTTTGAACCCATCCAGCAGCTCTGAGGGAGAAAGACCGGGAGATCTGCTTCCATAAAGATTACAGCCTATGAAACCCTATGGGGCAGTACTACTCTGTCACATGGGATTGCTATGAGTTGAAAATTAACTCCAAGGCACCTAACCATAACAACATATATACTATATAATATTATGTGTGTGTGCGTGTGTGTGTATTTAAAGTTTTTTTTGTTTTGTTT